GAGCCCTCTGCCGAAGCCTTTAGATCAGATGCACACTGGCGCAGCACAGCTCAAGTTTCTGATTCAGCTCTAAGCCAGAGTTCCACTCATGTCACATCCAGGCTCAAAACTCAGCGGTGACTCCCAGTGATCTACTAGATTAAGCTCAGACTCCTTGGCTGGGCACTCAGAGCCTGTACCCTGCCCCTCCTGCCAGCCTCTTCCTTCAACACTCATTGCCCTCCCCTCCCCAGTAGGTACTCTCACTTTCCCCAGAACCTTGGCCTGCTCTTGTCTGTTCCCTCCATCCTTCACTTATTCATTACCGGGTACTTACTGAGCACCTGCTGTGTTCTAGGGGACAGGGATACACAACATGCAAATATGCAAATAAGATACTATCCCAGCCTCTAAGAGCTGAGTCTGGAAGGAAAGACAAGGGACGAGATGATTGCAAACACAGTGGCATTGGTGTTGTGGAGGTTAGGGGCCGGGCCTGGTCAGCTCTGCTGGAGGGTTGGTGAGGCCAGGGGTGAGGGATGCATTTGAACTGAATCCTGAGGGGTGATGCACAGACCTCATGGAAGGACACACTTCCTCGCTCAGTCTGGGAACTGCCTGCTCTTTGGCTCAAAGCTCAGAGCTGTCATCAAAGATCTGGATGCCAGCCTCTGGGGGGTACACTTTGCAAGGACAAAAGGGGCCTCGGCAAGACATTAGGCAGATCGTATGACAGCAGCGTGGAGGGTTGCATGGGGTGGGGGCATTAAGAGACCCTCATACCTCCCTATCTTCTGTCAATGCCTCTCTGCTAGAATGCCCCCCATTCTTTATCCGGAACCACTGAAATGTCCTTCACTCTAGGAAGTCTTCCCTCCCTCCACCCCTCCCAGTCCCATCCCTAACAGGACAGAAGCGCTCCCTCATCCATCCTTTGCCCCATAGCACTTAGCATAAACCTCGACCCTAGGCCTTATCATGGGGCCCTGACTTCAGTTGTAAGTCGGCCTCCCCCATGAGCCCCTTGAAGACAGGGGCCTTGGCCTTCATCTTGCCCTGGCCCCTCCCCTCCTCATGCCTGTGATGGCCCCGCCCCAGGTATGCTAATCAGAGCTCTCCCACTGATTTGCTGATTACCTGCAAGCTCCAGCAGTCAGTCACCTGTCTTCTCTGGGCCTCAGGTGCGTCTCTGGGAGAAAGTTCTTCACTCCTGCCTCTGCAGGTCCGGAGGAGATCACAGCTGGAGCAAGGCCAGGGATTACAACAATAGCAGAGAAACTTAGAGTTTAGCCCACTCTGTCCTGAGACTTTCACTCGTCTTCCCCCCAAGTCATCCTTTGAGGTGCAGGCACTGTTAGCTGCACTCATTTGACACATGAGGAAATGAAGATACAGGGAGGTGAGGTAAATCCCCAGGGTGACGTGGCTCAGATCAGCAAAGCCAGGATTTGAACGCGGGCAGCAGGCGCTCCAAAACCTTTGCTCTTAACTACCAGGGTCTCCAGAACCTTTGCTCTTAACTACCAGGCTCTCCAAGAGCCTGCCTGCGCCTGCTCCTGAAAACCACACACGAAGGATTTCAGCAGACACTCACTAGCTCCACTGCACGCTCGTCGCACGCTCTGCGTGGTACAGATTTCAACCCTGGTGCAATACAGTCCACTTCCCCCTTGCAGCCTGCTCCTGGTGTGCTGGAGGTTCCTGGGAGCTCGTGGGAGAAGGAAACTTACAGAAACTGCCCATCTCGGGAGCCCTAACCTGAGCCCTGGACCTGAGGAGCCTGCCATGGGCTCTTACCCCGCTGTGTCATCTGCCTTGGGCCTTTGGCCACATCCAAGTGAATCATCCCAGAGGACTCTCGGGCAAGGGGGCAATCTGGGAGCCAGGCTCCCATCTGGCCTGGGCTTAGCATCTGATCAGAGGTTCCCTGAAGCAGGGGGACCTCTGCCCTTGCCCTGCCCTCTGTGTTGGAGGGAAAGGGGTCCCTAAAACAGAGGTGTGAGTTCTGAGGTGTGTGGAGTAGAAGGTAGGCAGGACACCAGCCATGATGGAGCCAAAATGATCCAGGCACTCAGGCTGCCCTCTCCCTCCCAGGGCTCAGCATGTAGAATGTGGTTTTCTGAAGAAAGGATTAAGAAGCCTGGAGAATTCAGGGTTTAAAGAGGCTCTGGGCTGGGCAGGCAAGCGGGCGGGTTAGAAGGGTGGTCCTGCGTCATCTTATCCTCATGTTTGTGTCAGATGCTGTTTGTTGTCTGTGAGTCACTAGTCACGCAGAACCATGAATAGGAGCCGCCGCACTCCCAGGGCAGGTCTGCAGAGGACAGACAGACCACTGCCAGATGGGCACGGCTGGAAGAGGGTGCTGCTTTCCCATCCTGACTCAGCCACTCACCAGCTGTGGGACCTGAGGCAGAACACACTCACTCTCTGGGCCTGAGCTTCAGTTTCTTTAACTGGCCATCAGGGACACTGGACTCGTTGGCCTAGGAGGCAGTTGTGCATTGTGGTTGTGAGAACTCAGATTCCGGAGTCGGGCTGCCTGGGTTAGAATTCCAGCTACATTTCCTCTTAGTCCCATGACTTTGAGCAAGTTATCCTTTCTAAACTCGGTAATAATCATAGTTCCAACCTTGTGTTGTAAAGATTTTAAACAGGATGGTATATCCTCTTTGACTCATGGTGACAGTGACTTGTCCCTTAAAGTTACAGACTTCAAAAATTTTTGTCCTGCACACACAAATAGGAGATATGGAGGAAATCTATCTCAACAAAAAAGTAGTCAGCCCCTCTCTTCACCCCTAGTCAGGGTCCCACTTTGTGGCATTTTGTTGTTGTCATTGACAACATTGTTATTGTCATTGGTATTTAATACAGAAGCAGGGAAAAAAGTCTCCAACAGATTTCCTTCACCCCTGGTCTGCTCCAAAAATTCAAATACTTTCTCCTGCTAATGGTGGAGGTCCAAGCAGGATGTCTCTTGCTAAGGTAATGTCCAAGCAATGAAGCCACTCGGGGCCAGCAGACCACAGGCTATGGCACGTGCCTGTGGTATTGGAGACGATGCTGTGACTGTCCCAGATGGGATTCTTTTAAAGAGTCATTGCTAAAAATCCAGGGGATGGATTTTGGATCCTGCCTGGGGGTCCTGCCAGGGACATCTGCCTGACTCAGCCCCAGGGAACGGAAGTCTGGTATCAAGTCTAACCTGGCAGGAACTGAGCCCGGAGTGGAAAATGCACAAAGTGTACCGGCCTCCCTTCTCCCCTCAGCTGACCCGAGGGAGGGGAAGATCGTGTGGCCCAGGCTGGCTGGGCAAGGAGATTCCAGCCTCGTGGCCCCGGGACGGATTTCCTGTTGAGAGGAAGCTAAAGTTGCCCGAGCTCTGATTCACCTTCCTGGCAAGTCTGGGGCCACGAGGAACCTAACAGAACCCTTCTCACCAGCTGGGCCTTAGTTTCCCTTTCTGCAAATATTGGTGGAAAATCTCCCCATACACTCCCACATCTCATTGTTTCAGAGAGCATTTACAGCGACAGGAAGTAGGGAAGTGTCCCTGCAGAGTCAGAGGGCTTCCAAAGGGCATGGGGGTTTGTGGGATGACAGCACTCAGCAGTTTCAGATCACCGGCAGTACTTGCTGGTCACCTGCCTGGTGATAATGGTCACAGCTTTCACCGCTGAGCACTTCCTCCGGGCGGGTTCTGCTGTGTTCCCTCCACACTAACCCAGTTAGTTGTCACCACAGTCCTGCCAGGTAAGAGTGTCACCATCCCCATTTTACGAATGAAGCTTAGAGAAGCTGAGAGAGATGCCTGGGGGCCAGCCAACACACTGCAGACTTGGAGAGGAACCCTGGGCCCCTCATTGCCTCATTACCAGAATCTAGGGGGTACCCTCAGACCCTGTTCTCAGAACATTGCACTCCAGCAGATGGACAGTAAATGCTCAGTAGCTGGGGGCGCTCTTAGTGAGTGGGGCCAGGGCGTGGACATTGATGGATGCAAAGTTACGCAGAGCTGTACACCACACCCCCCAGCCCCCCTGTACTGGTGCAGGGCCATCGGGGTTCCTGGAGGAGAGCCATCCTTGTGGCTGGGGTCCCTCTGGGGCAGGCTGAGGTCTTGACAGATTTAGGCTTGGGACCTGCTGACTTCTCACTGGAAGCAGTGAGCCAAGGCACAGAGATGTGTGGGAGCAAGGACCACCACAGGTACACAGGGTTCTGGCAGCCCGACTGGGAAGGGACCCCATCCCTCTCCCTTCTCCCTCTGCCCCACCCCTGGCCTCCCAATTGACTTGATTCACGCAGTGAGTCACTAACAGGAAGGAGCCCTTGACCTGCTGAGAATGCCTGTTAGTAACCCCAGTGGGGAAAGGGGAAGTGGAGAGAGAAGGGGAAAGGTGAGCCATCCCAGCTCCCTCAGGCCAGAAGCCCACAATAGCTGAGGCTGTGTCTGCCCTTGACCCGGTCCTGACCCCAATGCCTCTATCTGGGGTGCGGGTGGGCTCAGAGCCTGGCTGACCAGAAGCATCAGGGGCGTTCTCCCCAGAACTACTGAACCGGAAAGTCGGCGAGAGGAACTCTGGGATCTGTACGTGTGAAGAGTGCTGCCCTTCCCCAGCGATGCCCTGGTCAGGTGGTCGTAGGGGCCCTGACTCACCCTGATCTGGGGTGCCCCCCAAGTGGGGGGCATCAGCTGTGAACAAGCCAGGTACCAAAACGGGTTGTTGTTTCTTTCAAGGTGAAGTTCTGTACTTTTAAAAGTTTTGTTTTGAAAAGCTTTCTAGCCTTTCACTCTGAATTTTCCAGGAGGCTTTGGAACATCTTGGGTGTGTTCTCTTAAGTCACGGGGTTTAAATGGGAAAGATCAAAATTCCCAGGCCAGCAGGAGGGAGGCATCTACTGCAGGGCAGTGTCCAGGCGTGTCCTCTCCAGGGCCTGAGCTGAGCTCTGGGGTCGTGGCTAGTGAGGAGGCCCCACCCACTCCAGCTGGTCCCCATCCATCTGCCCTTCCCCATCAGGACGTGAAGATCTTCCGGGCCCTGATCCTGGGGGAGCTGGAGAAGGGGCAGAGTCAGTTCCAGGCCCTCTGCTTTGTCACCCGGCTGCACCACAATGAGATCATTCCCAGTGAGGCCATGGCCAAGCTCCGACAGGTGAGTGCCCACCCCAGAGCCCCCACCCCTGCAGCCAGCCTGCACCCCACCCCAGCCTCAGTCTCCCACCCAGTCCCTGACCCACCGTAGCCCTTTTCCCTGGCACCTACCTCTCGCCCTATCATCCTGAACTCCCTGATTGTGTCCCAGGCCAAACCTGACCTAAGAGCCCCAGATCTCTAGTCTGCATTGAGCCCCCAGCTCCCAGATTCTTCCAGTCCCCTAAGCTGAGCTCCCCCCCACTTATGATGGAAGCAAGTCGGATCTGCCTTCAGACCCAGCACCACCACTCATCATCCAGGTGACACTGGACAAGTCACTTCACCTTCAAAGCCCCTATTTTCGCACTGAGAGATGCATTATAGTGAGGATTGGGTGGGATGGAACATGTAAAGTGTTCAGTGTAGTGTTGCAAACCCACAACCTGTTTCCCTGCTCCCAGTCCCTTCCTGGACCCTGGGCCTCTCCCCAGCCTCATCCTCAGCTATCCACAGGACCTGTCCTAGGCCCCTCTCTTTTGCCTGCTTTAGCCAGAAAGACTCAGTTCCCTGGATGTTGGAAGGTATGGGACCCAGAGGTCATTGACCCTGCGACAGCTTGCCGAGCCTGCCCGCCTCCTGCACCACCCCCAGCATGTCAGAATTCTCCATCAGGCCCCAGAGGGTGGCCCCATTTGGAGGGGGCCTGGGTGCCCCTTGACTGCCACCCTGCAGATGGCCCCAAGGATTTGAAGACAGCCAGCCTGGGCCTGTCTGACTCTCAGCCACCAGGGTTCCCCTGGGAGTGGGCAGGGAGCAGGCAGGGAGCCTTCAAGGCCCAGTGAGAGTGGCTCGTCTCCTCTACACAGAAAAATCCACGGGCGGTGCGGCAGGCCGAGGAGGTGCGGGGTCTGGAGCATCTGCACATGGATGTCGCCGTCAACTTCAGCCAGGGGGGCCTGCTGAGCCCCCATCTCCGCAATGTGTGTGCCGAGGCCGCGGATGCCATCTACACCCGCCAGGAGGACGTCCGGTTCTGGCTGGAGCAAGGTCAGCTGGGTGCTGCCCACTGCTGTATCATCTCAGATATGATGGGCTGCAATGATGTGATATGGGAGTTCAGGGAAGGCTTCCTGGAGGAAGTGGTGCCTGTGAGGTTCTTTAGTGAGAAGAGTCAGCCAGATAAAAGGGACCAATTCCCAGGTAGGAACATACAGAACTGAGACCCTGCTGGACCCTGTGGAGGGAATTCCCAGACAACTCCCACCTCGTCTCTGCCCTTAGTGAGAACGCAGATGGGACCCTCTGTCATTGAGAGGGGCAGGCACCAGGCTCTGGATGGAGCCCGAACACCCATTTTCACCAGCTACCTCTGCTGCCACCTCTCAGAAATCAGCTCCTCTCCTTCCCTTCACACCCTCCTTGGTACCAGCATCTCTCCTCCAGGATCCTTGAGAACTCCTCCCATCTTTGCATGGTCCCTACGCTTCCGGCCATGTGACCTCATTGCTGGCCCATCTCTGGGTACCTTTCCCAGGACTGTCCTCAGGTCCTCTCTGTAGAAGGGACAAGGAGATGTCACCATTCTGACTCCAGGTCCCTGGTCCTTCTGCCCAACCGGCTGAGCATAGGAGAAATGCCTGGCCCTCCCAGGGCAGCGCTGGATTTAGAAATGCCCAGGAGAGCTGTGGTCATGCCCTCCACACACACCCCGTCCCCAGTGGGCTGCCTCCCAAACCGAGCTGCAAACCTGATGCCGTCCTCCAGAGGCTAGTCCCTCCTGTGGCCACTGAGCCAAACCTGGGGCCAGGTCACTGCTGTGTCCCCCCAGCAACCTTCACGTGCACACTCCGATATACCCCGCACACTGGCCTCCCTGAATTCCCCAGCATGTTTGTGCTGGCCCTTCCTGGCCTGGCCCTGCTCCAGTACAACCTCCTTATTCTCCCCACACCTCTATGCCATCACGTCCCAGTATAGAGACGTTTTATAGGGTGGCAGCATGGGCGAATGGAGGCCTTGGAGTCAGACAGCCCTGGGGTCCAGTCCTGACTTTTGCTGTGTGACCTCAGCTAAACGTTAAACCTCTCTGGGCCAGTTTTCTCATCTGCAAGCCAGGGATGATAACACATAGCTCACAGGGGTGCTGGGATGCCCGAAGGAGCCTTGCAGGGAGGCCCCCTGCCTGACCTCTGCCTCCTCCCCCAGGTGTGGACAGCTCCGTGTTCGAGGCGCTGCCCAAGGCCTCAGAGCAGACGTGGCTGCCTCGCTGCGGGCAGGCGGGGGACCGCGGGAAGCCCTGCGTGTGCCGCTACGGCCTGAGCCTAGCCTGGTACCCCTGCATGCTCAAGTACTGCCACAGCCGCGACCGCCCTGCGCCCTACAAGTGCGGCATCCGCAGCTGCCAGAAGAGCTACAGCTTCGACTTCTACGTGCCCCAGAGGCAGCTGTGCCTCTGGGACGAGGACCCCTAGCCCCGCCGGGTGAGCGGTGGTCCCTGGGGCCGCGGCTCTGGGCCGGCTGCTCCGCCCCCTGCCGCTGGAGGGGGCCAGCCCGAAGAGGCATTCCTGCTCTTCCGCCCTTCCTCTAGTCCCACAGCCCCTGACCCCCTCACTCACGACTGTGAAAACGGGTGTGGCAGGGCAGGGGTTAACTCATGAAGGCAGCCCCCACCCCCACCCAGTGCCTTCCTTGGGGACAGAGGGAGAAGGGGGCTCTCCAAGTGTGGCCCTCCCTTCATCTCGCCTGAAGTGTTCTCTTTCAAGCACCAAAATGTGATGGCCTGTGACTCTCCTGCTTAACTCTTTGAAGGTTTAGACCGTGGAAGGTGTCTATGCTGATTACACCCACCTCCCCACACACCCCCACCCACCACCGCCCTACCATCCGGAAGGTGCACCTCCCCCACCTTCCCGCTGCCCAGCAACGAGGGGGTCATTGCCCCAGAGAGAGGGCTGTCTGTCGGGAAGATGCCACAGCCCCTACAGCAGATCTCAGTGCGTCCCTCTCACTCCTGGCCTCCAACACCCTCCGGGGGACAGGTGGGTGCCCCCCACCCCACCACCCTGAGACAGACCACATGTGCCTTTCCTCAGACCTGGACTTTGCCACGGAGCAGGCGTTGGCTTCCCCCCTCCCCTAAAACAGAAATATTTTTGTAAGGTTCTGGGGCAGGGAGGGAGCATGAAGTATGAGGAAGACTTGAATTCCAGATTTTTAATGCAAAGTATTTATCATTTGTACCAGAAATAAAAGTTTAAATTTTTACTTGACTGACAGCAGCTCTAGACAGGGAGTTCTGGGAGAACTCTTGGCCAATGCTGCCACCTGGTGTCAGAAGAAGTGTCCCTGTGCTGAATCAGAGACCAGTCTTGGGACAACTTCTAAAGCACCTGCTGTGTGCTTGGCCTGTGTGGTGGGAGAGGATGGGGGAGTGGGGGTTAGTACCAGGAAAGGACACGCCAAAACTTGTGCACTTGAGAAGATGAGACATACGATGGTAAGCAAGCCAGGCATTACAAGAGTGTGAGATAGACTGAAGCAAGAGATAAGGTGAAAACTCCAGAACCAGACTTCCAGGGTTCAAATACTGACCATGATTCTTATTTGCTGTGCAACCTTGAGTCAGTTACTTGACCTCTCTGTGCCTCAGCTCTCTCAGCCGCAAAATGAGCTTCATTGTGAGACTTCAGTGAACGCCTACATGGCATAGTGCGTGCTCACCGTGTTGGCTGTTATTAGTATTGTTACTGTGAATGAAGAGAGCAGACATTTTCTCATCTAGAAACCGGACACAACTAAACCAGACATTGTGAAGGCCTCTTCACTTCAAGGGTATCTTCCAGCACAAAGAGGCTATGGTGTGAAGTGCTGGGCTGGGCGCTGGAGGGCTTCCAGGAGGGAAGGATGTGCAGCTGAATTGAGTGGGGAAGGTTTCCTGGGCGCGATGGGACCTGGAAAGAGGCTGAAGGATGGTAAGAATTTGGCAAGGTGGAGGGGACTGTGTGAGCACAGGGCAGAGACAGGAGTGTTTCAGGAGCTGGGCAAGTCCCAGGGGTCCCAACTTCTTGGGAGGGAGGAGGCTGGAGTCAGATCCTTCCTCACAGGCCTTGGAGAGGGAAGCGGCTTACAGGGCAGCCCCCCTTACTCTGCTCCCCGGCACCCCCAGAACAGGTGCTGCCGCCCCTTGGACTGTGCTGCCCAGAGGGCTGCGGTGGGAGCCAGGCTGGCTTGGCTGGGGTCGAGTTAGCGGTTGGAGGGGAAGACATCCTTTTCAGGTGGGCATGCTCTTTCTGACCCTGTTCTCAGGGACCAGCTTCAGCCATGCTGGGGGGCAAGGAAGGGAGGCATTGCTCCCCAGGCCTTGTCCTCCTTCACCTCCTGCCCCACCCCTGCTCCGGGTGGGGGAGGGGACTCCTTGGAAAGGCATCTCCCACCCTATGTGTGTGCCTCTATTGCTGGAGGTGGGGGTCCCCCAGTCATATACCTTGCCTACTTACTTCCAAGTAGCTAAGAATAATATTTTTTAAAATAAGTAATGTTTTCAAGACTTGGAGTGTTTTTCTGCTCTTCCTTCAGAGTGACTAGCCCCTCCAAGCCTACTTGTCCCCTGCAGGCCGGGGGCTTCTGGACACTGTTACTTCAGACCACCCTGCCTGGGGCTCGTACTTGCTCTTAGGGATGTGGATAAGGATGAGGATGCCCTGAGACTCAGATGAGGTCCACGCCTCTTATCATTCCAAACGACACCCCCTTGCTTCCCCAGCCCAGCTCTGGCTCTTTCACGGTGCCTCCAACTGGGCACGTCAAGTTCACGTGCAGCAGAATCACTTAGAGCTCATTAAACAGATGCAGACGGTCAGCTATCTGAGAGACAAGGTGCTCCTTTCCTCAAAAGGCCTTTGTGGACGTGTGAGAACACGTGGGAGGGGTACCGCACCTACAACGGCACTCATTTGTTTCAGGGTTCGCAAAGTGCCTCCAAATAAATGAGCTCCCTGGCCCCTTGTAGCAGTGCTGTGACATTCTATGGATGTCCCTCACCTATGAAATTGTGGGACCAACCCAAGGTCGGACAGAGAGAGCAGAGCTGGGCTCCAGTCCCCGGCCTTCTTACTCCACGCACACCCACAGCCCAAAGGAGTTTCTCAGATGGGCCAGCGGGGACCTCAGCACCGCTCACTGGGGAGGAGAGCAGGCCCGCGCCCCGCAGTAGCGTCATTGAGCACTTGGATGGGGGGTTCCCAAAGCTCCCCTACACCTGGTGTTGGCAGGAACAGGCTCCTGATTGTCCCCCTTGCCAAGGTAAGCAAGGCCTTCAGGTGGGAGCCCAGGAGCCCAGACTTCACCAGTGTCTCTTCAAGCCAGAGGAAACTAAAGTGGTGCCAGGCCGCCCTGGGCAGATCACCCAACCTGGCCTGGGCCTGTGCTTTCTGTGGGTTTTCTTCAGGCTCCTCTCCCTGCAATCTGTTAGTCAAGGGAAATCTTAGGTGGGGAGAATGTGGGGCCCCACAGTTGGAGCCCCTCTGCCCAGGGTCTTCACGGGACCTGGATAGGGTGAGTGGAGCCGCCCAGGAGGCTGGCAGACAGTGGGGCAGGGACCACTGCCCAGAAGCAAAGCTTGAGGCTAACAACGCATACAAGGAATGTAGGTACCAGCCCTGTCCCATCTCTGGGCGACCTCAGGTGAGTCCCTCCACTTATAAGTCCCCAGTTCCATCCTTCACTAAGAGAGAGGGCCTCACTAGTCCATCTCTAAGGTCTTCCCCAGTGCTGGCACTCACTGGGTAAGTGCACATTATTAGCCATGTAGCTACTGATGGACAATTCAATTGTTCCCCGTGATTGGCTCCTACGGGCCCCGCTGTACAGGGGTGGTGAAAACGAAGAACTGAAATGCCTGGTACTTGGGAGATACTGACAAATGGCACTGTCCAAGTTCACACCCTCGCTAGCAGTGTATGAAAGACCGTATTCCCCCACATTCCTGCTGTATCAGTCAGCCAGGGCTCTCTAGAGAAACAGATCCTACGCATAGACAGTTGGTCCTTGAACAGGGCAAGGATTAGGGGAGCAACCCTCCAGAGTCAAAAGTGTGAGCCTGATTTATAGTTGGCTCTCCGTACCTGCAGCTTCCTAGTATCCACGGTTCCGAATCTGCAGATTCAACCAACTGCAGATCATGTAGTACTATGGTACTTACTGTTGAAAAAATCCATGGATCAATGAGGCCACGCAGTTCAAAGCCATGTTGTTCAAGAGTCAGCCCTACACACACACACAGAGATTGATTGATTTTAAGAAATTAGCTCATGAGATTGGGGATCTAGCCGGTCAAATTCTGGCAGGTTATGCAAAAGTTGGTGTGACCATCCTGAGTCTGAAAATCGTAGGGCAGGTCAGCAGCAGCTGGGCAATCAGACACGATTTCTATAATAGTCTTGAGGCAGAATTCCTTCTTCAGGAAACCTCAGTTTTTCGCTCTTAAGGCCTGCAACTGATTGGATGAGGCCCACCCACAGTATCCAGGGACATCCCCTTCACTTAAAGTCAACTGATTATAGAGTTTAATCATTTCTACAAAATACCTTCACAGCAACACTTAGACTATTGTTAGACAAAACAACTAGCACCATAGCCCCACTGAGCAGACACATAAAATTGACCACCACACCTGCCATCACTTTATATTATTACCAAGTCTTGGCCATCTTGACTGTGAGAAACATCCAAGCATTCTAGGGTTTATTCTTGGATAAGAATCTTTGACTACAGCCAGGTAACTGGCTGTGCTGGCTGCTCATTTGTGCCCCCTCCCATCCCTCATGCATTCTCCACCTTCCTCTGCCCTGCTCTGTGCCTCAGAACACCAAGCTCTGGAGGGGCCTCACCTAGCTCCCTCACCTCTGGCTCACAGAGGAGAAGCACCAGCAGTCCAAGAGTGGGATGAGAGAGACTAGGGCTTGGCTTCCCCACCCCTTGCTTCCCAAGACCACAGCTCTGGCTCTGGACCTCCTTGGGCCCAGCCACAGTATCCAGGGTCATCCCTTTTACTTAAAGTCAACTGATTATAGAGTTTAATCACTTCTACAAAATACATTCACAGCAACACTTAGACTATTGTTAGACCAAACAAGTAGCACCATAGCCCCGCTGAGCGGACACATGAAATTGACACCAGGATCACTGCTCCTCCTCTTGCCTCTTCAGCCCTAGCTTCTCAGTGTCCCTTGCCCCTGCTCACACCTCTGTGAGTAAGCAATCCTTCATAGAAGGCACTCCGAATCGAGCTGATTCTCTTCCTAGAGATCCCGACAACAGTCAACCCAGAAGAACGGACAGCGGAGGGAAAGAGGGTCAGTTAGGTGGACAGCATGAGCCCATGAAGCTGGGACTCTGTGTTCTCTCTCCCTGGTAGAAGGTCCAGACCTCAGGGGCTTCCGGTCAGGCAAGGGAGAAACGGAGGATCACAAGCAACTCAGGACCCAAGCCTGCAGATCCTTTCGGCAGTGGCCTCTGCCTCCCCGGAGGAGGTGGCCATCTCACCTTTTAGGCCCGACTCCCACTGCACGTGTCCTGCTGGGAACATGTCCTGACTCCCAGGGGAAAGGGCAGGATGAAGGGACACTGCACTCACAGCCCCTCCTCTCCTACATCCCGGGAAGCAGAAACCTCTCTATCCGCTGCATCTGCACCTGCCTCTCAGGACCCCCTCCTGTCCTGGTGATGGGGACGTGCCCCTTCTTCCTGACTTCAAGGCTCCGGATCCCAGCCCCACTCCTTCCTCCTGGAGAAGTTGTCCCCTCTCTTCCCCTTTCACCTCTCTTTCCTGCCTCCTGCCCAGGTACCCTGAGAGGGTTTAAATCTTTCTCATTTAAAAAAACAAGATAAAAAGCACCTCAAACCCAAGTCCCGCTCCACCTCTGCCCTATTTCTCCTTATTCCCTCATAGTCAAACTTCTTGCCAGACTCCTCCTCCTCCCCAGCAGTTCCCAACCCCGTGCCGTGGCACTCAAGGCTATGCATGTGGCAACCAGTAAAAGCCACCTGCTCCTGAACCTGGTGAACCATTTCCACCTAAGTTAGGCCCGATTCAAGGTCTTTCCCATGCAAATGTCATCACCTTCACTCACTTGTGGTCTCACCTTTTGTGCTCTGTGATCTAGCCGGCTTGTACTGTGTGGGGCCCCCCATGTGCCATGCACCTTTCTGGCATTTACTGTTCCCTTGGTTTGTATGGCTTACGCTCCCTTCCTCCTCCTTCCTCTTTGCT